TAGATGCGTGCGCTTTCTTAATTGGAGAAAACTTCCATCAATCATGTTTTAAATTTGGCAGGTTTCAATTTTTAGGCATCGCTCATATGTAAAATTAACTAAAGCTAAAATATTAATCTAGGAAAAAATTTCAATTGCTCAACTGTTTAAATTATGAAGGAAGTCGATGAAAATGATTCTAAATGAAAGGGAAATACATCCTTTTGGGGCCACATTTTATATCTTTCTAAAAGTGCATAGAAATGAGAGGTAACGCAAAAATTGCACTTTTCTTCCTAAATTGGCCTTACTTCCTTTTGAAGATGAATACAATGAAGGATAATTAAGTCTATCAAAGAAATTAAGTTCCATTTACATCATTTCCACCCAACATGTATCCCAGCATATTTTGATTTTAACTTTACCTCTCTTCTTTCGTGGTCTGCTTGTTTTTTTGTTCTTAATTTTTAGAATTTGAAATTTATGGCTTTAGTATGTTTGAAATTTGGGGCTTTTTGCATGATAAAATTTTATTGCTCTTAAATAGGATTAATGTTAATACAAAAGGCCGCGTCTCACTTGTAATTAGAATATCACGGGAAGCAATTTTGCTCTTAGCTTTAGATGTAATGCAATGTGTTGCATCTTTTTGCACGTATATAGATTAGCATACTGCATGGCGTTGTGTTGACATTTCATATGGTGACACGTTTAACAATCGCATTTATCGTGTCGTGTTGTTTGACCTGCTTTATTAAAAGTGTCGTGTTCGTATTGTGGCAGTTCAACGCATTTACCAAACACGTCTTTTTGCCATATTTGTGTTATATCCTAACTCGACATGACACAATATGACACAACACAAATTGTCAATTGTATCTTTAGTAACATGATCGCTCACAAAAACAATGAAAAAAAAAGAATGTCCAAAGTCTCTAAATTTTCACGGTTCACTTGATTTTTTTTTTCTGTTCTTGCTCTCTCTCTCTCTCTCTGTCCCAATGTTCTTTTCTCTTTTTTTGTGAATGTTGCTTCTCTATTCGTTTCGGGTTGGTTGCTTCACTTCTTTTATGTTTTGGTTCAAATTCGGTGATTTAATATTTTAATTTTATTTAAAATTGTCATATTCTTAACGAAATTGGAAATGCGAGGTAGAGATGAACAAATGGTCGTTGTCATTTCTCTCTTATTTATTTCGTGCTGGCCCCACATGCCAATAATTTTATATAGGATGAATTTATGATATTATGTTAGCGAGCCGTTCACTTCAAACTTTCAAATTCAAATTATCGATTGATATATTGTTTGCAAAATAGAGCCATAATTTGTTAAATGACACCAAATGAGCATAACGCGTTAGTATTAAGTTACTAATGATATATGAAATACTTGTACACTATCCCTGAGTTCTTGTCCGGGCCATTTTTTTATTACAATTTTGTTGGCATATCATTCAGCTCTTGAAAAGTCAGTAAACCAATGAAAATAGAAGAATGCAAAATATTCAAAAAATTAAAAGTGATTTAGGGAAAAAAAACATAGAAAGAAGGGAATGAAGTGTCTGGGCTTACTTTTAGAGGTAACGTCCAAAAAGCTTTTGAATTATGAATTCATGACACATAGAAACCTTCATGAACATGAATTGAAAGTGAAAAAAGGGAATGAAGTTGGAACGTAAGATGCTATTCTGCTGCATAAAAGAATCGATGAACTAATATCTACGAACAAGTATGAACATGAATCTGTTACCACGAAAGAAAAAAATGAACAAGAAATCTATAATTAATTAGTAATTGATTGACTAGAGGCAGTTGCAGATGCCTGTTGTCCTCGCCTCATCTTCTTTTGGACCTCAACCTATTCAAGTCAAACCTGTTGGCTTGATCCACTCACGAGTAATGTGTGCGTTAATTTTTCAATTGGGCTATAAGAATATGGGGAAAATTCCAATTAAGGACCCCAAGTGGGGTCAAATTCTCAAAAAAGGGTCCAAAGTGAACATTGTGTCAAATAAAGGCCTGAAGTGCTTAATCAGTCTCAAATAAGGACCTGAAGTGCCCAAAAAGTCTCAAATAAGGACCTAGGTCCTCAGTAGCCAAAATACACCTTGTGGCGAAGATCTTGTTCCGGCACCGGAGACAGTAACTTTTTAATTTTTTTATTATTTTCTTTCTGTTTTTCCTTTTGTGTTTTTTTTCTTTTCCTTTTCCTTTTCTTTTTTTTTTTCTTTTCTTCCTCCGGCCATAGCCGGGGCCGGCGGAGGTCGCGGCCTCGAGGCGAGGCGGCCCTCGCCGGCGTCGGGCGAGGCGGCCCTCGCCGGCGTCGGGCGAGGCCGCCTCGCTGGGGCCGGGCGAGGTCGCCTTCGCCGCTGGGCTGGGCGAGGCCGGCCTCACCGTTGCCGCGAGGTCGAGCCTCGCTAGATCCAGGCGAGGGCTCGGCCCCGCCGGCCGCTGGCGAGGCTCGACCTCGCCGGTGTCGGGCGAGGCTGGGCGAGGCTCGACCTCGCCGGCGTCGGGCGAGGCTGGCGAGGCTCGACCTCGCCTGATCTGGCGAGGCCGAGCCCTCTCTCTCTCCAGCCTCGAAGTTCGTCCGGTCGAAGCCGTGGGAGGAGGAGCAGGGCCTCCTCCAAGGACCCAGGGCCTGCATCGCCGCCTTGAGCAGCATCGAGAGGAAGCGATTCCAGACGATCTTCGACTTTGCTTCAACCAGACGAACTTCGGCGTCGGGCGAGGCCGGCGAGGTCGAGCCTCGCCAGCGGCCGGCTGGCCGAGGCTCGACCTCGCTTGCAACTGGCGAGGCCGGTCTCGCCCGACGCCGGTGAGGTCGAGCCCTCGCCAGATCTGGCGAGGCTCGACCTCGCCGGCAACTGGCGAGGCCGGCCTCGCCCAGCCCAGGCGAGGGCGGCCCTCGCCCGACCCCGGCGAGGGCGGCCCTCGCCCGACGCCGGCGAGGGCGGCCTCGCCTGAGGCAGGCGACCTCCGTCGGCCCCGGCTATGGCCGGCGGAGGAAGAAAAGAAAAGGAAAAGGAAAAGAAAAAAAAAAGAAAAGGAAAAACAGAAAGAAAATAATAAAAAAATTAAAAAGTTACTGTTCCGGTGCCGGAACAGTAACTTTCTCGCCGGCCGGTAGGTATTTTGGCCGGCCGGGGACTCAGGTCCTTATTTGAGACTTTTTGGGCACTTCGGGTCCTTATTTGAGACTGGTTGAGCACTTCATGCCCTTATTTGACACAATGTTCACTTTGGACCCTTTTTTGAGAATTTGACCCCACTTGGGGTCCTTAATTGGAATTTTCCCTAAGAATATGTGTACAAGTATATTGCATTCAATTAAAAATATAAAGCATGCATTCAGTTACTTATTTGGTTATTGAAAATCGGAATTCGATAAATCACTTAAAAGATAATAATTGAGTTGAAACGGAATTAGATACGTGTGAAAGACATCGAGAGAGGACCGAGCTAGTAATTGTGGATGTGATTTTATATTCTAATTTTGTTTAAAATTGCGATATTCTTAAGGAAGTTGGATATGTGAGGTAGAGATAAACAAAATGCCCGTTGTTATTTATCTTTTATCTATTCCACGCCAGCACCACATGGTACAATTCCATGTAAAATGAATTTATTTTGAACTGGTATTTTATCACTGAACCTTTCGTTTCAAATTTTCAAATATAAAAAGTTGATTGATATTTTATCTGTAAAAGGAAGCTGCTGAGGAAAATTCAGAGACGACCAAGGTTTGAAACAATGGCGTCGAGTGCTTGTCCCCATTTTTGTTGGAGTACCCATCTTGAGAATATCACCGCAAAGATTCTTTATCCAATTAAATGGAAATAGAATAGGATTATCAGCTAAATTTGTGCTAAGCCAGGTTAAAATTGATAAATCACTTTTGGAAGAACGAATTTGTTCGTAACAAAAGAGGTGTAAGAAATGAGTGATGTAAAGCTAGGTTAATCTCCTAATATGCGCGTATGGCTCGATTTATTTGATTGTTTTCATGTGTGTCATAAGATCAACTAGGTTTTTTTTTTCTTACTACCGGATATCATGTAAAAGGTCTTAAGAAGTATCATGCTATGGATTTTGGTATGTTTTATAATGTGATTGTTGAAACCATCATGAGCTGAGAGAAGTAAGAACAACTACTTTTGATGATGGCAGGCTTCATGCAATTTACTACAAAACATGAACTGGTGGGTGGATTGGTTGTTAACGACAAAACATATATATGCCATGAAAAGCAAAACGAAAATGGTAAAAAGTTGCAAAGAATGAACCACGACTGGCATGTAGGAACTGCGACTAAGCATATCCAATTAGAAAATGCACGGCGGATGCCACTTGCCATTAGGAAATGCAACTCACATGCATCAATTCGCATAAAAGGAGACAGATTGCACCCACAAATCCAACTAAACAAGCCAAAGCAACACTAAAGAAAAAATTCCTTCTACCATCAATGTCTTTGCTTCAACAAGCTGCGATCGCCTTATCTAATCAATTGCACCAATTTAGGAAACCGACCATGGTTGAAATGAAGGGAATTAGATAACACTAAATTTAGATGGAATCGACGCTCCTCCGACTGAGGATCGTGTCTTTGAAAGCAACAAGCAAATTCTTCAATTCAGGAGGCTTCGAGGTTCAGAAGCTGCGTGAGTCGCACGTGCATTTTTTTGGAGGAAAATTTCGATCAGAAGAACCCTTAACTTCTCCAATTGAGAGCTTCATCTGGGATTCAAATTGGGTCAAAACGGATTTCCTTTTTTTTTTATTAAACCAACCCTGCTCTGGCCTCTGGGAACAAGCCGGCCGGCGAAGATTCAACCGACCAGTGAGCTCGGGCTCTTGTTCGAGACTGGATCGGTCACTTCAACCCCCTTATTTATTTAAGACAAGGTCCCATTTCGAACCCTCTTTCCAGAAAACGGCCCCATTTCAGGGACCCGCTTGAAATTTATACACAATTACATGACTAGATTGCAAAATTACTTTCCCAATCCTCAGTCCCAAGAGAAACTCCAGATCCTGAGTTTTTTTCTTCTCCGCCATATCAACCGACCGCTCAACAAGCTTCGCACCAAGTAGCGCGTCGAGGCGAGATTCAGAGCACCGCAATGGCTCAGCCGTTCGTGAAGAAGGACGATGACGACGAGGAAGGTAACGCCTCCGCTTGTACATCATCTGCCTGCGCGATGCTGGTGCGGGTCGTGAGCTTCTTCTAGATCCGTTTGTTCTGGTCGGGGCGTGTAGGCCTCTGATCGGACGGGCTGTGGTTGGTTTGTGTTTTCTCGGATTGATCCGGTTTGGCAGCCGCCCGATCCGAGCGGATTCCCGTGTTTGTTTCTGTGTTGTCGGCGGAGATTGTCGTGAATGCAGCTCCCGACGAGCGATGGCGATGTTGGAATTGCGCGAATCTACTTGGTCTCGATGGGCGTGATCCGTCGTTTTAGTCAGGGTATAGGTCTGATTGGATGGGCTATATGGTTATTTTCTCGGATTGATTTGGTTTCCCGTTCGCACGATCCGAGTGGGTTTTATGTGTTGTTTTGTATTATGGGCGGAGATAAGTGTGAATGTAGCTCCACTGAGCAATGTGGATGTTAAATTGCGCGAATCTACTCGGTCTTGATGGGCGTGATCCGCCGTTTTAGTCAGAATATAGGTCTGATTGGATGGGCTATATGGTTGTTTTCTCGACTTGATTTGGTTTCCCGTTCGCTCGATCCGAGTGGGTTTCCGTGTTGTTTCGTGTTATCGGCGGTGGTAATCGTGAATGCAGCTCCACTGAGCAATGGCAATGTTAAATTGCGTGAATCTACTCGGTCTTGATGGACAATGATCTGGGTTTTTTCCTTTCAGTATCACTATTTAATGTTCATCAGATGCTAATGATTGCAGACTTCTGGTTCTTTTTGTGTGAAATGTGATGGCATAGACCTCCGTATGTGGGTCGTTTATTTCACCTGATTTTGCGATTCGAATGCTATGCAGCTGAATACTCTCCGTTTCTCGGGATTGAGAAGGGGGCAGTTCTTCAGGAAGCTAGAGTTTTCAATGACCCTCAGCTTGATCCTAGGCGTTGCTCTCAGGTCTCACTTTGTGTTATTTAATTTTGAACCTACATTTTGCACAAAGTTCTTATATCGATGACTGAGTTTTCTGACGTTTGTTCACTCGATTGCAGGTCATCACAAAGCTACTCTATCTGCTGAATCAGGGGGAGACATTCACCAAGGTCAAATTTTTTGGCTGATTATAATGCTGTTAGTTTTCTAATAATTGTTCTAAATCATTACCCCTTATACTTCATTGGCCTTTATGCACAAGATTATGGAGAATTTGACTAAATGCGTCTCCTTTTGAGTTCTACATGTGACTGGATCTCCATTCAATCATGCAGATAGAAGCAACAGAAGTCTTTTTTGCTGTGACAAAACTTTTCCAATCCAAAGATATAGGATTAAGGAGAATGGTTTATTTGATGATAAAGGAGCTCTCTCCTTCTGCAGATGAGGTTATATGGTGTATTGGAATATGTTAATCCTGACTTCCTTTATATGAATGAGCCTTGGTTTTATTTAGCAAATTCTGACTTGTTAAATTTTCTTTGCTTTGCTAGGTAATTATTGTGACAAGCTCCCTAATGAAGGATATGAATAGCAAGACTGACATGTATCGTGCCAATGCAATTCGAGTTTTATGTCGGATCATAGATGGAACCCTGCTCACCCAAATTGAACGCTACTTGAAACAAGCTATTGTTGACAAGAATCCAGTGGTTGCTAGTGCAGCCTTAGTTAGCGGGATCCATATACTTCAGGTTCTTTTAAATTCTTTCTGCTGACGGTCACTAGTTCCTTCTTTATGTCAAAACCTGCCTCTTTATATTTGTCTTATGTTTACAGTCGAACCCAGAGATTGTAAAAAGGTGGAGCAATGAGATTCAGGAAGCTGTGCAATCAAGACTAGCCCTTGTACAGTTTCACGCACTTGCCTTACTCCATCAGGTTGGTCAAAGTGTTTTTTGTCTACATGGTTGGACTTACCATTTGAAAGCAATTTTTTGGAAAAACTGCAGTCTTATATCTCAGTATTATTTCAGCTGCATGGCTATTTACATTTCCATTGATGATTTTAGACTTGATCATGTTTTGTATGTTTCATGTCTATGGACACCAGACTGCCCATCCCGAGGGGAAGGCTAATGCCATGGCAATAATATGATTTACTATCTGAGGCTAAACATGAAGAGATCCTTTTTGTTGACCTCTCTAAAAAATCTGTGCTTTATGAATAAGATGAACTTTTAGCTTCTGGAATTTGCATTCAGGAAGAGAAGTTGTCTCATTTTCCAAAATAGAAACTAGCTAGTGGATTCTGAAGTGTTATTCACTGTTCTTTCTGTGTCCTCTATTTCTTTTACCTTAAGGAATTGCTTGCTTGTCAATTGGTTCTTTCCTGTTATTGTTCCGAACTAATACAAGTTCATAAGTAGCCTCGTAGGAGGAATCCTATCACTTTTAGTTGATGAAAAGTCTAGAGAGAGAGAGATCTTTGACACCATCGTACCAGCTTTCCCTGTGGTCAACGATCTCTGATCTAAAATAGGCATAATTTATCCTTAGTTGGTCATAATCAAGCAAGCTATTAGCAGCACTTGATTTTTTTTTTAAGGAAGGAAATAAGTGGCTCAACGATTAGTCTTGTGGTTGAGGTGTCAATGGCTCTAGATGAAAATGCATTGTTGATAAGAGACAGGAAGGATGCAGATTTTTTATATTTCCTCTTTTATTATGGTGGGTAAATGTAAATACTTAGTCTTCCCTTTTCTTCAATACCTAGAATAACTTAAATTTAACAGTTCAGTCTATACTGTAAACTGGCTTATTCATGTTGTGTCATGACACATCACCTTTCTTTTCTTTTGATCTCCTTTTCTTTTCAAAAAACAAACCTGAATTTGTCCTGTGCATTGACTGGTCATAGTCTAGCACGTTGCCTTGTGCTGCTGGACATAATACTGTCTTGTATCATGCTATTTTTTCGCTTTTTGCTGTGGAAAGAGGCGTTCCTTTTTGGCCATAAAGAAAGAAAAGAGCCTCTGATTATACTCTAATGTATACAATGCCACACAATAACGAGACTGTCCTTTTTACTGTATGCTTAAATTGTATATAAATTACTTATTAGCATCAAGGTGCTGACATCACATCTTATTCAAAACACGCAGATTCGGCAAAATGATAGACTTGCTGTGAGCAAGCTTGTAACAAGCTTGACAAGGGGGTCTGTTCGATCACCTTTGGCCCAGTGCCTTTTAATACGCTATACGAGTCAGGTACTTGTAGCTACTTAGCTGGAAGAAGTCCTTTTCAATATGACATAACTAATTTGCATGACATTATCCTTGATTAAACAACATATGCAGGTTATCCATGAGTCAGCCAGTAATTCACAAACTGGTGAAAGACCATTCTTTGATTATCTGGAAAGCTGTCTGCGGCACAAGGCTGAAATGGTGATTCTTGAGGCTGCAAGAGCTATCACCGAGCTTAATGGAGTGACAAGCAGGGAATTGACTCCAGCAATAACTGTTCTCCAGCTATTTTTAAGTTCTTCGAAACCAGTGCTGAGATTTGCAGCCGTTCGCACTCTGAATAAGGTTAGCACCTGCCACCCTACTCCTCCCTAGATTTTCTGTCAATTCTTTTTTAAAACCTTTTTTTATTTGTAGAAGACTAATCAATGTAAATATCTATCCATCATCTAAATGGGTGAGAGCAGTTTCATCATCATCACGTTCAGTCTGCATATATTGTTACTTTTGTCTTTCTTCATTAGTTGTATATGTGTATGCGTACATATGTAGCATAGGTGCACGGGCACCCGTATATTTGAAGAAACAGAGCGACTAGTTCAGTCTTTGAACCTTATTTGTAGCCCCAGGAGGACAAAGAAAGAAAGCAACTGGTTGTAGATTGTTGTACTCTATTTATCGCCCCATGAATTGTAAGATGGAAATATTCAGATGGCATGTATGTGGACTTTTGTCCAGAATTGAGTTGTGATCAGGCTCTGAAAGGTTGTTTAAGACAGCTACTGATTTTGGTATTAGAACTGAACTAGTGGTGGAACGAGGAGCTCTTCTCTTGGCACTATCATGGGAGTTGGAATAAGACCTCTCAAGTTTAGATTTCCACATAGTTTGCTTCTCGTTTGTGGTGTTCAATATAGTTAAATTCTTTCATCAAAATTTGACCCAGGCCAAGGATTCCACAAGGCTTCAAAAAAGAGTTTGGTTGACGGACAATCAATATTTTTCATTAACATTCCTGCAGTCACAGTTCTATTCCGTGTAAATCTCCAAGAATATTCTTTAACAGGTTGCAATGACACATCCAACGGCCGTCACTAATTGCAATATAGATATGGAGAGTCTGATTTCTGACCAAAACAGAAGCATTGCCACACTTGCCATCACCACTCTCCTGAAGACAGGAAATGAATCGAGTGTTGATCGTCTGATGAAGCAGATTACCAACTTTATGTCAGATATTGCTGATGAGTTCAAAATTGTAGTGGTGGAAGCCATAAGGTCATTATGTTTGAAGTTTCCTCTGAAATATAGATCCCTGTGAGTTGGCCTCCTTCCATTTTTCTTTTTGGTACAACAAATATATCTTATCATGTGGTTATTCTCTGAAGTAACTGATACGTGGATCTGGATTAACCTGTGATGATGTTATTTTGGTTTTCATCAGGATGAACTTCCTTAGCAACATTCTTAGGGAAGAAGGTGGATTCGAGTATAAAAAGGCAATTATAGATTCAATTGTGATCCTCATCAGGGATATACCTGAAGCAAAAGAAAGTGGGTTGCTTCATCTGTGCGAGTTTATTGAAGATTGTGAATTTACTTATCTGTCGACACAGGTGGGTGTTTAAGTTACCATTATGTTTAAAGAGTTTCCCATTTTTTAAAATTCAACTTATACATGTGTTGTTACATTTTCATTGTCAGATTCTCCATTTTCTGGGAATCGAAGGGCCGAAAACCTCAGATCCTAGTAAGTACATACGGTACATATACAATCGGGTACATCTTGAGAATGCTACTGTTCGGGCTAGCGCTGTCAGCACCCTGGCAAAGTTCGGTGCCATGGTCGAATCATTGAAGGTGCACCGAGTTTCTTTTTCCTTCTGCTATTTAGCAAATGTTTTATTCACCTTTCAACAGTTCTTTGTGATCTGATCAATGCTGGATTAATCACTGACAACTTCCTTGCAGCCCCGTATCTTTGTTCTTCTACGGCGCTGTCTCTTTGACAGTGATGATGAGGTTAGTTGTCTGGGCATACATCATGTTATATGCTTTTAGCTTCGCATATTTTGCTTGTCATGCAATTTAGATTTTTTTTTCTATAGGAGCCTTCATGTCTTGCCTCGACTTAGTTTGTGCACACATGCAGGTTCGTGACAGAGCAACTCTTTACCTGAACACACTTGGGGGTGATGGTTCAGAAGTTGAAACTGGTGAAAACGGGAACGAGTTTCTCTTCGGGTCACTGGAAGTTCCCCTGGTCAACTTGGAGACCAGTCTGAAAAATTATGTCAGTCTTCTCCCCCCCTCTCTCCTTTATCTAAAGACCTTTAACTTTGACCTTACTTGTCCATTTCCAATATAGGAGCCTTCGGATGAGTCCTTTGACATAACCTCTGTGCCCAAGGAGATCAAGTCTCAGCCACTTGCAGAGAAAAAAGCCCCTGGAAAGAAGCCAACTACTGGTCTGGGTGCTCCTCCAAGTGGCCCTGCAACAACTGTTGATGCTTATGAGAGACTTCTTTCTTCAATTGCTGAGTTTTCCAGCTTTGGGAAGCTTTTTAAGGTTCTTTAGTTATATTTTTATCTCAATAATGTTTATGTCCATCTTTTGTTGGTAGAGATTTACTTAAAAGGTTTTCTTTTCTTGGCAGTCGTCTGCTTCAGTTGAGTTGACTGAAGCGGGAACAGAATATGCAGTTAATGTTGTGAAACACATTTTTGATAGCCATGTCGTGTTTCAGTACAACTGCACCAATACGATTCCGGAGGTGTTTTTGGAAAATGTAATGCTTTCTTCAAAACTGCTGTATCGTGCTTTGACACATTGCCTGAGACTGCAATTATAGTTTCTGAATTTGCTTCTAGGTTGCTGTTATAGTGGATTCCTCAGATGCAGAGGAGTTTTCTGAAGTTGCATCCAAACCTCTACGATCTCTTCCTTATGATTCACCTGGACAGACCTTTGTGGCATTTGAAAAGCCTGACGGTGTGCCTGCAGTTGGAAAATTCTCCAATATTTTGAAGTTCATAGTGAAAGAGGTATAAGTTGGCTTTTTACTTAGATGATCCCCTCATTCTACTTCAGCTTATAGTTTAGAGAAGAATGACTTGTCATCTTCAAGATCATGTTTAATGTGATATGACTAAAGATTGTTCAAATAACGGCTTGTCTTTCAGTAACTGGTTCGTCTAATATCATCTGTTGTCATTGTCAGATATTGTGGATGATATGAAATCCTCTCTCTAATTGCCTCAACATGTGAAAACATTTGGTATGGTAGAAGCACACACGCTACCATATGGTCACATTCTGCTGTGGGATTGATTGCCCATTCTCTACTGACAACTTGTAATTTTAAAAACCCATAAATCTTAATGCTATTACTCTGATCTTTTGGGTAAAATCTCATATTGAACTTGCATAAAGTGGAGAGAATGCAATCAACAGACTAATTTTACTCCTTGAGTTTTGAATTACTTTGTTGTTTCATATTTTACCTCCCTATCAGGTTGATCCATCCAGTGGCGAAGCGGAGGAAGATGGCGTTGAAGATGAATATCAGCTTGAGGACCTTGAGGTTGTTGCAGCAGATTACATGCTGAAAGTTGGAGTATCCAATTTCAGAAATGCATGGGAAAGCATGGGCGCAGATTATGAGCGGGTTGATGAATATGGCCTTGGCCCTAGGGAGAGCTTGGCTGAAGCTGTGAATGCAGTCATCAACCTTCTTGGCATGCAGCCCTGTGAGGTATTCTTTAGTTGGAAGTACTTTTTTTTGTGGCTTGATGTTGGTTTAAGAACATATATGCCAGAAAATTGATGCTGTGAACCTATCTAATGGATCAATTGGACAACTCCAGTGACGGACTGTAATACCTCCCTTGGGCTTTCTGACATAGTACTAATCCTTTCTATTGAAACTCTATCGACCTGATTAATAAAGATGCAAATGAACAAATTCATGTCAGTATGCTTTGCCTTTGAATCACCTATAACGGTTTGAGGCATGATAAAGACAGATATCAGACAAGCTCTTTCTACCTCTTCACTTGCCGTGAAGTCCATTGAATAAGTGAATGGACTTGTGCTTTTTTTTATAGCGATGGAAATTTTGCCGACCATGTTGGACCTATCCTTTCCCTACAAATGGGTGTTCTTTTTTAGACAAATCTTGAACTAAAGTTTGTTAATTTTCATGAATAAAGGACATTGAGACTGATAAGAAAACGATGACATGAGAGATGGAAGGACGGAAAGGATTTTCCTTTCTCCAACTCAGTGCAGATTGGCAATCGCCATTTTTTTTCATTCTATTGTTAGATATACTCTCTTATGATGTATTATCGTCCTGTGAAGTGAAAGAGAGTTTGTTATTTTGTCTTTAGGGAACAGAAGCGGTCCCAAGCAATTCCAGGTCCCACAGCTGCCTATTGTCTGGTGTATATATTGGGAACGTGAAGGTCCTCGTGCGCTTGTCATTCGGAATAGACAGTCATAGAGAAGTCGCGATGAAGTTGTCCGTGCGCTCCGAGGATGAAAGCGTCAGTGATGCCATACACGAGATTGTTAGCGGTTGATTTGCGTATTCAATTTGTTCTATTCTTTTGCCTTTTAGAAAGGAGAGCTGGAAGTGGAATTTTGCGGAAGAGACCGAAACTTCTCGGCATAGGGTGGTTGGGACATTGATTTGTACGACTCTGCTTCATTCTATACGTAGATATGATTCAAAGTGAATTAGGGAGAAAAAGAAGATGCTGGATCAGGCTTTCTTTCTTCTGCATATTCTTCTATTGTCTGGCAGACTCCGCTTGGTCGAGCCGGTCTGCCTCGGTGATCCCGCGCATATAAGATGAACATGGAGGCATTCTGCTGTACTGGCATTATGAACTATCTAATAATTGTTTCGATCATGCATCTCTCTCTCCCTTTTCTTTTCAATTCGAAAACCGGTCAAAGAGCAGGAATGGAATATGGTAGCAACCATCCGTGGCTTTATGTTTTACCATCAACGATTGCTGTTTGATATGTTGTGAATCACGGTCGCGAGGTTTCTATGCACAATAGACAAATGCTCATTCAAATCATAATGGAGCTTTCGCAACATTTCCAGGGACGGGCAATAGGGTCTTTGTATCATATTCTAGAGAATTCTCGGCATAAATGTCAATAGTTTTTGGACGGGAGATGCGATATCGGCCACTCGATTGGTAGTCGATCAATGGATGTAATAAGAGACCATCTACTATATAAAGGGTGTTTTCTTCTCGTTTATAACTATCCAAACAATCTCCTTCTCATTTATATCCATCCAAACAATTAAATGATCTTCTCCTTCTCATTTATATCCATCCAAACAATTAAATGATCTGGGTGAGCGAGCGCGTTCCCAAACAACCATACTGTGACAAACATGATGATCCAGGTGAGCGAGCAATTCATTCCCAAACAACCATATTATGACAAACAGGATATTTTGGAAATTTGATTTGTTACCACGGTCAATCTGGTGAAAAAAATTAGTCTCAAGAAAATATGTTCATCAAGTGAAAAAAAGATTAGAAAATGGAAAAAAAACTCCAATGCCGGGAATCGAACCCGGTCTCCTGGGTGAAAGCCAGATATCCTAACCGCTGGACGACAACGGAACAATCGTTAGATTTAGCACAATATTTAATATTAAACCACTTATATCTACCTTTATATTATAATAGAATCATATTTATTTATTTTTAAATTTCAGTGTTATCATTAAAAACTTCAAGTACATGCCTCTTGACCACGTATTTTTATGTAATGTTTTGAAAGGAAATCACTATCATTAAAGTAGTACCATGGCTAAAGCCTTACCTTGTCTCGCCTTCTTCACTTTTATAATTTACCCCACTTCTTTTGGAATTCCTACAACAGATGGAATCAAAATAATTACGAGTTGTTAAAACTTATTTACGATATCAGAGGACTTTGTAGAAGATGTATATCATGGCTCTGACTTCTCCTCCTTTTTTTTATCCGAATGCATTATTCCGACTCGACAACCCGCCCGAGCAAACAAAGATGAGTGCTTCCTTATTTCTATTCCGTAAAAAGACGGATATAACCCGATCCAACTTGTAAATTTTCTATTAGGTTTGACAAAAAAAATATATCTTAAGACGAAATTCTTGCATATTAAAGGTAAGACTCATTTGTTAAGGGAAATAATGCTTAAAAAATGATAGGGTCGGATATTGATCAATAAGATCTCGACCCATTTAAAACAGCCCAATTCATGATCTTGATCGTATTGAGCTGCAAGCCCAAAATAAAATTACGAACCCGACCTAATACGCCCAATCCCCGGTTCTCAGTTTTCCCCTTTTGCCGAAGAAATCCCATCGTCTCTCGTTCATTCCCTTATTATGCTTCCGAAAGCTAATTTTGTGCTTCGTCCTTATGCTTCAGAAGCTGTGTTTGTAAAGAACGAAACCTTGTGCGTCCTTGGCGAAAGATCAATTTGTATATTCACACGTGTATGTATTTACCTCATTTATCATCTCGTACGATTAAAAAAATTAGAATACGGTCCGGTACAGGTTCTACGGGGAAATATCGCATTTGATCAGAAAAGAATCGGATCGGAAAAGAGCAATTATTTGGATCGAAATCAATGCCTGAAAAATCATGTAGTTGACAGTAGATCTTGGAAAGAAGAGGTACATGGCAGAATATTTAGACTCATTTCAACCTAAAACCTTAGGGAATTTTTTCCCATACTCTTTTAACTTATGGTGAAAAACGAAAGGTGGGAAAAAAAAAAGGCTAGATATAAATATATTACACCTATATAAATATAAGAAGGAAGGCTTTTACAACTAAATATAAGGACAAGTTCTTCAGCTACACCACCATTCCTTATTCTGCCTCATATATAACACCTAACAATAGAGTTCTACCAGACTTCAGGTGCTCCCACCAGGGTAAACACAGCCATTGTAACCTGCAATTCAGACATTCAGTTCAAATAAGCAATAACCCAAAACTGAGATAAACTCATTCCACATGACTAACAAGGAAGTGAAATTGACATTCGATCTGTCGAATCGCATGCTATAGATACATTGCTGGCTCTGGCTCGTTTTCTAATAACTCGAGTTTTCGGGATTAATGTTTTATCTCGCATGAATCAGAGCATAGATCATGAGTTCGAACTTGGGCAACCCCCTTGTATTTATTCTATCTGTTAAGTCTATGGCTTGATTCTTAATAGCTTAAAGTTCTGGAGAAAACGATTTGTAGCAAATACACTTGCGAAACGAAGGCCTTTTTTAGTGGAGAGAAAAACTTGATTGAGGTCATGCATAATAATTAGGAGAAGTATATGCATCTCGCATGAATATGCACATGTCTAGAAGGGCATAAGATACTAAAGATACATGGATTGGTGTTTATTCACACATGTTCAGGAATTAGAATGTCTAGGTTAAGTGTGAGTACTCATAGAGTTACGCTACGGAAGACTTACTAGGATTGTTGGTTGTGAGTGTTGCCGTTTGAGAGAAATCGCAGTTCCAAGGGTTCTTGCCAGTGGTTTGGTAGTAGAGGTTCATGGCAAAAGCTGCATGTGATGCTACGGTGTTCGGATCGAAGCAAGCGCCCCCCGGCTGGATCGGACTGCAATCAATGTTCTGGCTGCAAGCATAGTCGAGACCTGCTTGCAATTGAGCGTCGGAAACACCAGATTTGGGAACACACCAGCCCATTCCTGTTGGTTTTGGGGTCGGAGTCACTGGAGCTGTTGGAGAAGCTGGGGTCTGAATGACAGGAGAAACTTTGAGAATCAGTAAGTGTTAATTTCCGTGTATAAATACAAGGCAACCAGGAATGCATTACTCTTTTAAGCACCCAATATCCACCATGCTGTCCTTAGAAATAAAGTACTGTATGCATAGATGTCCTTAGAAATAAGTAGGTGGCTCCGAATGTTTGTATTCAAAGGATCTTTATTAAGTGGAACTCAACTCTCCTAAATTCTGAGCCAAAAACCAAATTGAAAAAAGAAAGCAAAAACCTCCAAATCCTAAGGATTCTTATTGAAAGTGCCTCGCAGGGTCGACAGACCACCAATCATGTGTGTGATAGTAGCTTTGTGCCAGACTAGGACAGGGTAGGTCCTAGATGATTTCTGTTAAGTTTTATTTCGCTGCCTATTAATCTCCTGAAAGCCTATTGCACCTTTTTGTCTCCCGTAACAAAGGTCAAGACTCATACTTTCCATTATTTCAGACTTGGATTGCAAAGCAATATGCATACCACACCTCTTATGTCGAATGTTTGATACAGCACAATTCCTATATCGTCTAATAAATCCTGCCAAAATGAAGGACCACAATGGCCTAAAGGAACCGCAATTACCTGGCTACTCTTCGAAATACCAATGCCATATGCCATGGTCAGATCAGGCTTGAACAGTCCAAACGATCGTTCAGAAGTAGGCCCTGGTTTCAAATCCTCGTCATAGAGCGCAAAAATGTATGTATCCACGGACTTGCCTGGCATCAGTGGAGTGCCAACCAACGATCTAAGGTGGGCAACCAAATTGCCGTTGTAGGCCTTAGCATTCTCTACACTAGGCCCGACCTCATTGCTGTCGCCATTGTACGGCCATCCCGTCTCCGCAACCACAATTTCAATGTCCTTGTACCCCAATGCCTTTAGGGCAGAGTAAACAGCATCAACCTGCAGATTGTGATTTTGCTCATTTATCAAGTGAAATCACGTTGTTCTTCAGATAAAAGAACGTGGAACATGTCAGATAGCTAGTTGATGAGATCTACCCTATCCCCTTGGCTACATTTTCGCCCATATTATCGAAGGGGCTTGACATTGAGTGGTCCATCATTCGATTTTTTAAGGTCCACTTATGTACATGGCCAAAAGATGTTTGAAGGGTTTTGTCTGATATTGTTCCTCCGGACAGCCTGTCAGCCCGTTACCAGTCGCAACAAATCGCATCAAGTCACTTTCCAAGGTTCCCATCACCTCACGGCACAAGATGATCACCTTTCTAAAGAGATGAGCTAAGCATAGTGCAGTTATTACTTTATCAATTTGTAGTAGTGCTGGTATGTATGCTAGTATATCATGGGCCTTTATACCACCAGAATCAGATGCTTTTTTCAACAGATAAGATGAAAAAGGTTGACGACAAAAATGCCTGAATGGAAGTCTACAGTAAAACATAACCACCACAAATAACCATTTCTAGAAGTTGGAAGGTTTGAGTCATGAGTTCTTCTCAGAAGCAAACTTTTTCAGCCAGAACACTCTAACCTCACCATTAAAACGCCCCAGAATAGGGAAGAGAAAATTAAAGCGTCTCTCTTGCCTCCTTCTGCACTCATATACAGGAGAAGAAATAAAGCATCTCCTCATTTCATCACAAGTAGCATCTAAACTATGAGAGAACTGATCAGGAAAACTATTATTTCATGGTTAAGGAGTGAAAGATCAATAAGTACTGTGAAATTTGGACACAACAAGGCAGTACACCGGGCAAGCTATGCACTATGACACCAGCGTAGTACATATAGAAGCAACAAAACTCATTTCTATGGGACCACATTGCTGGTAGAGAACCCAACCTAAACGAAGAACGGGTGGTGGTGGACTCGCTTTTTCTAAGTCTACTCTGAAAGAATTCATTCGTTGCTCAGTTGAGGCCCACCATTTCTAAAAGATTGACTAAGACTCCACCTGTAGAAAGTAAATGTCTTAAACAGGCCCCATCTATTTGAGAACAAAGCAGATCGAAAGTTCTTAATTAGCTCGCCCCGAGCCCGAACCACAAGTTGGACGAGCACGGACAGATACTTTACTTTGTCGGGTCGAACTCGCCCGCAGATGCTTGCTTGGATCCGCCAAGGCCCAATCGTCTTAAAAAAAAATTTAAAACTTTTTTTGCAAATTGATCGAGCCCGAACTTAAACGAGTCAAACTCAGACTCGGTTTCGGTATCGAGCTGTGTACAACCGAGTCGAGCTCGACTAGACTCGGGCTACACCATCAGGCCATAGCCAGCGGGCATAAGAGAGAGGAAAGAAGAAAGAAAGAATCAAACGTCAATGCATTGGACCGTTAGACGCATACACGCAGCACAGCACAAGTGCAAAAAAAACATACTAAGAAAGAACAAGTGGTGTCAAGCAGAGATGGGCCGAGAGAGAACTCTCGCAGCCAGGCCCAGAACCCAGGAAGAAAAAACAAGAAGACAAGACAGAAAATAGAAACCAAACCTCACCTGAGCATCGAACATGTTCATGTACTTGATCCCGGTCCCGGAGTCGACCCGACCCGCGTTGGGCTGGAACAGGCAGAACGCCAGCGTCTCGGGCCTCGGGTCGCTCTGGTACGCGAAGAACGGGTACGGGTTGATGGCGAGGGGCGACCCGTTCTCCCGCTGGAACTCCAGCAGGTCCCTCAGCCGCCCCTCGAACGACGGGTGGAACAGGCCCGACGACGGCGGGTCGGACTGGCTCAGCAGCGACATGGCGTGCACCGACGACACCCTCACCTTGCCCCCCAGCCCGGCGGCGGTGATGGCCCCCTGCATGTTCCGCATCGCCGGCAGGAGCTGCGATATCAAGTTCTCGTCGTTGGACATCAACACCTGCAAAAACAAAAACATAAAAAAAAAAAGAATTGCATCCTTTTCAGTCTTTTTCTTGATGCCAGCTCCATCAAAAAGTAGAAAAGGAATAGCATCATCCACCCAAAAAGCCAGATGAAAAAAAACGAAGGGCCTTTACGCCCGTTTGGCCGCATTATTTGCGCCAATTAGGATCAGTGTTCGAGTTTGTGCTGGCGTGCCATGTCGTGTTGTGTCGAAATCTTGAAGCGAACTTAAGCTAAATGCATTTCGAATGATGACTTCAATCCATTTCAACACTTCTTGAATTATATAGCTCTTCTTGAGCCTGTGAATCTTGGAATTGGAAGGGGTTGCGCTTTGGTCTTCGGTTTCGTCGGAACAACACAGATTGAAACCGACCCAAGAGAGAGCTGTGCGGGATTCACCTCATTGCCCACCGTGACGAGGGTGATGTCGCTGGCGGGATAAAACGGGAGGATGTTGGCGCCGACCCACCGGGCGGCCGCGGCGGGATCGGAGGCCAGCGACGGTATGTCGCCGTTGGCCGCCCCGATCACGATCCCGATCCCCGTGTCCGCCAGCGCCCTGATGATCGCCGGATCGGCGCCGTACAGCCTGACCTTCCCGATCGTCGTCGACGCCAGGAGCTTCGCCGTGGACTCCGGCGGCGGGAGGTTGTCGGCGACCTGCCCGTAGTTCACTCCGACGAACGACTGCGAAACTGCAGAGACACAAAAACAGGGGCGGCAAGAAAGAATTACTACCATAATTAGACACATTCCTCAGCTCCCTCTCTCGACTCGGTCACGACGGGACAGCTCCCAGCAGACACAATCGAATGCCGGGAGCGGAAAAGGGAAGGAACCCGCCTCGGACCCCGCGAATCTGGACACGACGAGCGAGAACCTCCGGCACCCATTTCTCGCAAGACTCGACTCGCTCCATAAACCAGACAAGATTCAGCTCAAAACTCTTGCAAATTTGGCTACTCAACTAGTGAAGAATCTACCTACCCACCCACACACACACACACACACACACAGACAGATGGGAAGAGAACACTTACAGGCCAAGGGAGAAGCGTGGAGGAGGAGGAGGAGGAGGGAGAGAGAGGAGGGGATGGAGAGAAGGGAAGCCGCCATGGATGCTTTGGATGAGCTGAACTGAGGTTGAGAGAGGTGAGCTGGATACGGGGAGCTGAGCGTGTCCGTGCGTGTGCGTCCCAGCGTTTTTGAAAAAGCGGTACAAATAGAGTTCGAGCACGAGAAGTTAATAATTGAGAAAATTGCGCGAATGTCTCCTGAATTTTGGCTTAATACTTAACGTAGTCCTTAAATATTTAATTTATTTAATACGGTTCTTAAATTTTAGCCCAACGATACTCTAATTTTGATAGATGTTCAATTTAGTCCATATACAATATGAAAATATCTAATGTTATATTTCAACAGAGTTAATATCATGAAAAACCCCAAACCGATACAGCTGTGATAAATTTACCCGAAATTATTTTTTTAACGACAAAAAACCACAAATTGGTACACTTGTGATAATTTTACTCCGAATTAATTTTTTGACCACCAAAAACTCTAAACCGGTAGACCTGTAACAATTTTATCTCGAATTAATTTTTTGACCATCGAAAATCCCAAATTGGTACACCCATGACAAATTTACTCTCCATTAGTTTCCGTTAAATTTTACTGTCAAATTGCTAAGTTTGATGACACATGATAGTTGACGGGTGTACCAGTTTAGAGTTTTACCCATCTGTTTGTCACAAGTTTATCAATTTGTGATTTTTCGCGATATTAATCCAATTTAACAAACACTAACGGAGGGTAAATTTGTCATAAATGTATCAATTTGGGATTTTTAGTAGTCAAAATATTAGTTTGGGGTAAAATTATCACGAGCATACCAGTTTAGGGTTTTTTGTGGTCAAAAAATTAGTTCGGGATAAAATTATCGCAAGTGTACCAGTTTAGGGCTTTTTTGTGGTATTAACCCATTTCAATAAAATCGAGTTCACATAAATTACGTCGAACATTTTCACATAATTTATGGACTAAATTGAATATGTATCGAAAGTCCACGACTCATATTGAATAAACAAAAAGTTCAGTGACAACATTGCGCGTTAAGTTAAAATTCAGAGATCATATTAAATAAATTAAAAGTTCGGAGAATTTTCTTGTCATTTTCCCTGAATAAATTCATCGAGATGTTAAAAATAAAAATAAGAAATTGAGCAGAGCAGACGGGCGAAGTGGAGGAAAGCAACGGTAAAGAGAGGAGAAATCAGATGAGGTGGGAGCAGTTTCGGTGTGTGGGAAAGGTTTTAATTTAATCGTAGAAATTATTCTTTTTCTATTTTACTTTTTTCCTGACTTTTTTTATTTTATTGGGGGGGTCAAGAGCAGGTGTCCGTTGACTTTGATGCGGCGGGCGCCAGCGTGGCGTGACCGAAGGGGTCGTGTCCGACGGTGGCAGTTTCGTAATTTAGGACCGAATCTAGGGGTTTGTTTGTAAGCCATGGCTGGTTTTACCGTTTCCCTACCGGCCCCCCCCCCCCCCCCATCTACCCCGCATAATTCTCCCCCAAAAATCCCAAATTTTCCAATTAAAAAAGGGAAAAAAAAACGGGAAATTATAAAAAAAATTTGGAGAGTGAGGTGAAATCCGACAAGAAAGAAAAGAGAGATTTAACATTTTAAGAAATCATATACTTTGCGTATTCCATTACATGTTTATTATGGAATTTCAAAGGGTCTCGCAAAAAAAGTTCATAAGTTTCACGACGCCCTTGCTCGAAATATGCAACTTTCTGTTATCATCGGTGTTCCATTCGATACCGCCGATGAATTTCCTGCATATCGCTCTAAGTTATACGCAGGAAAACACCGTTCGATCCGGGTGGCTTGTCCAGTGGATCCCCGGGCGAATTGCTGGGATTTTCATATGCCGATTCGGACGTTCCGTGCCATCCGCGCTCCTCGAACCCCGGCTTTTCCCGAAACACCGTGAATCCCGAGAATCGAAAGTGCCCTTTTCTTTATTACGAAGAAAAGGGGCCCTTTTTTTTTGGGGAATTTGAATGTACAAAATCAAATTGGCCCTTTTGAATTGAAACGCGTGCATGATCAATCCATGAATGAGGTAGCAATCGCTAAGGCTGCGTTTGGTCGACCGGATAAAAGTCAGGATAGGATATGTTTTATTCTATTCTGTGTTTGGTGGTGGTCTAGGATAGGATAAGGTCAGTTATAGACCGGATAAAAAAATCCGAGGGGGGGTGGGATAGACCCGGATAGGATTTCTATTGCCTATTTTTCCAGAAACCCTACACTCCACTCGCCGTCATCTTCATCCCCACACCTTGTGCGCTTTCACCAAAAAAATTTCTTAGCTTTTTTTCCTTCACTGACTCCTCCGGACCCGTGAATAGCAAAAAAAAAAATATATATATATATATATATATCCTATCCGACTTTAAATCCATAGTCCACCAAAACAGTGGACAGGATATGAAGAAATCCCAGGATTTCTTATCCTATCCTATCCAGTCCTATCCTGTTTAGAAATCCGGACGACCAAACGCAGCCTAATAAGACCTTAAAGCCGGAGATTTGACTCTCGATCTCACTTTGCCAGGTCAAGAAGAACGATACCACCTCTAAACTTTCTTTCTTTCTTTCTTCATCCCAAAACCTACTTAATTTGATAATCAAGATTTGATGTGTCCACCCTACACGATGGCTGACTAATTGAATCTTAAATCTACCTACTCTAAAGTGTATGATTTGATGTTATCATCGGTGTTCCGGTCGAAATCGCCGACGAATTTCCTGCATATCACTCTAAGTTATATGCTGAAAACACCGTTCGACCTAGGCGGCTTGTATGGCTCGTCAATCCACAACGGAACCTCGGGCGAATTGCTAGGATATTCATATGCCGATTCGGACGTTCCACGCCGCACGCGCTCCTTGAACCCGGCTTTTGCGAAACACCAAGAATTGAAAGTGCCTTTTCTTTAGGGTTAATACCATCAAAAACCTCAAATCGGTACACATGTAATAAATTTATCTCAAACTAATTTTTTGACCACCAAAAACCCCAAACCGGTACACCTGTGACAAATTTACCCTCGATTAATTTTTCGTTAAATTTTACAGTCAAATTGCCAAGTTGAATGACACGTGACAATTGACGGGTATACCGATTCAGGGTTTTACCCCTCTGTTTGTCATAGATTTACCCGTTTGTGATTTTTCGTAGTATTAATCCAACTTAACGGAGAGTAAATTTGTCGCAAGTATACCGATTTAGGGTTTTTTTGGTGATAAAAAAAATTAGTTTTGGGAGTAAACTTGTCACGGGTGTACCAGTTTAGGGTTTTTGGTGGTCAAAAAATTAATTTTTGGTAAATTGATCATAAATATATCAGTTTTGGGATTTTCATGGTATTAACATTTTATCTTTATTAAGAAGAAAAAGGGCCCTTTTTTCGAATTTGAATCTACAAATCAAATTGAGTCCACGTTCTTCTGTTTCCAAAACATTTTTTCTTGTGTGCGGGACTGAACAAGATTCTAATGGGAACACAGACTTCTTGCAGGCCTTTTTCACTACCAATAGTGGTTGGAGTGGTGCCCAAGTTAAATCCGGTTCTCCTCTAAACCTCCCAAAAGCAAAGTGTTCAATTCCTTTGGTCAACCCTCCTTTGAGAGGTTTCCCAACCAAGGACGGATCGAGGAAACTGGGGAATTCAAGCTTCTCATTGAATGAAGTTGGTGTGGTACGCGTGTGTGGCTCTTTGTCTAGGGACCATCTTTCTCATGGTTTTTCAGTGTGTTTTGCTCGAGTGCAACACGATGTTCTGCATGGATCGGGTGGGATTGCGTATGTCTAGAAGGGCGAATGGCGGTCCGTCCGAGGGTCGGAAGTTCCGCATGGATATATATCATCAGATTATTACTGATACTGAGCATTTTCATCTAAAGTTCTTCTATGGACATTCAATTGAAACGGATTCGTATGCAGGTGGTTTTTCTACGTTTGTTTATTGAATATGACCCGCTTGCTCACCGAGCCGAGCCCAAAAAAAGAAGGAGGAGGAGCTTTGCAAAGTAAATGAACTGTCGTCGGCCATGAATTTTTCTACGTTTGTTCGTCTTCTTCCTTCGTTGCCCGTCGATGCCTCCGTTACTTTTTACAAAGCGGAGAACGACAAACTCTCACATTCGCCCGAGCTAGAAACCCTATCAAACTCGAGTTTCGTCCTCGACCCTTTTCCCTCTCTCGGGTGACTGCGCAGCTCGAGAAGCTTACCCATTTCCCTCTCGATTTGAATCGTGACGCGCGTACGATCAATCCGCCAGCGAGGCGGTAATCGCCAGTAATGCCTTAAAGCTCGAGATCCGACTCTCGATCTCGCCTTGCCATGTCAAGGTCGACGACACCATCTCTAAATTTCCTTTCTTTCCAGAAACCCCACCTAATATACCATAATCAAGATCAAGATTTGATGTGTCCACCTACACGATGCTGACTAATTGAATGGTAAATCCACCTAATCTAAAGTGTATGATTGGAGGCAAATCTCTTGGCTTTTTCCTAGAATCGAGCAGGTCCGTGCACTAAATTCGCTGACGTGGCGCCGTCCCATTGGCCCGAAAGTTGGACGGTGGAAAAAGGCCGACCCGTTTTTCTTTTTTCTTCTTGCACACGCCGTTGGCCTTTTGAAGGACTTCCTTAAACAGCCCGAGCTTTTGCATGGAGACAAACTTTTTGGACCGACAACTTCTTTTGGTAGGTTTACATTAAAGTATGAAATATACATTGTACACCCCAAAAAAAATTATATAAATATGTTAATATGTTGAATTACACGGTATGATATAGAATTCTGGTAAAATTAAAATCGATGATTTGAAAAATATTTATCCAAAATGTGATCGCTTTTATCGATTATAGAAATGAACAGACGAAAAATATTTTCATCGTTCGCAATAATTAAAAAAAAATCACTTTTTCATTGACCGATTATTTCAAGCGATCGTTGTTAGGAAAAAGAATGCTCATGTTATTCATTTTTCGTGAAACAAACGGAGCCTATAAACACGGGATGGTTTGTTTGTTTAGATGGCTCGTGTGCTAATTGTACCGCTCACACACCGTAATTATACCCGCTTGTATCATGAAATTAGTGAGTCTTGAGTTATCGGGGCATAATGAAGGACCGCGATAGGTCGTGCCATTCCGCGGAGGATGGTGCTGACTCGATAGAGAGTTTAGCCCAATAGTCATGCTAGCATTTAAAATTGGGAAAGTGTGCCTTTTTTAATTTAGGAAATCATCTGATATTTGCAAATTAACGACATAACGAGATATTATGAAAATTTCGGGAACTTGAGGTGTTATAAACTGACGTCGGATTTTGTAAAATTCGAGACGCTACACTCGAAATTACTCTTTTTTTTCTTTTATAAAACCGAGCGAGCGGATTTTTATTTTTATCTCCGTAATAGTAAAATTAGAACATGAATTTGTGAAAATTTGCCTTTCTCTGCGATACCCTTTTCGCCTTTTCGACTAGTGTGGGTCAAAATTTGGAGGGTTGAACTTTTGGAAAGATTAAAAGTCATAGCAAATCCCGTAACTACTAATGCGATTTTTTATTTTTTTATTTAGAACAATAGTTCGAGAAAAAAAATAAAGAAAAGAAAGAAGAGAAGCGGGCCGTAAAATCGGCTTTTTTTCTTTTCGTGAAAGTCGTAGCAAATCCCGTAACTACTTGTACTGGAAAATGAGTTAGCGTAATTCCTCGTTGTTGAATATGTCGCGACGATGAAAAACATATTTACTGATTACATCATCTACAATTGCCCCGAATCTCGGGATGTTTTTCCCGATCAATCATAAATTTTTATTGAGATTAGGTAAATCAATAGTGCTCCTCCTTTTATATCACGAGAAGATCTCAAACAAAAACCCGAAATATCGCGTCGGTTGCAGAGGCATCGGATAGGCCGCGGTTTTCCCTCCGATCGGGATCGCGGGGGAACTTCTTCCGACCACTCTTCCGATTGATGGGTCGCACCCCGCGTACATGAACCGTGCCGATATCCGTTTCGTCCGGCGTCTGCGCGGCGATCGCCGTTCACGGCCGATCGATTAGAAAGGCGGTCGGAGCCAGCGAATAAATTAAAATGAAATGAACAAAAACAAAAATAGTGAAGAAGGCTAAGAAGAAAAAGAGAAAAGTAAGAAAGGTCAAGTTGGCCGGCGCGAGTACATGGCCCGCCGGCGATGATGGATGCATCGTGTCCCCATAAAGAAACAAAACAAAACAAAGAACTTCTTCCCACACGGTCACCTTCCTATGCAAAAAAAAGCATCATCACATGGCCACCCCATCTCTCCCTTTCTCTTTCTATGTCCCATCGTTTCACACACATGACATAATTGGAGTGATTTGAATCCTGGGTCATTGTGTTGTCACATGAAAGAACGTGTTGGACTTGTCGGGTGCTTCGTCCAACGGATAATTATCGAGCAAGTACCGAATCTATTATGCGATTGTCAATTCAGTTTTGAAAATTTTTAATTTTATCGGTGTGGCCCTAAATTTTTGCGCGAAATTCTTATGTGGCCAATCTGACCGGTTGTAGTCGAAAATTGCTGATATGGCGTCCAGTCGTCGCCCGACCATGGACAACTTGTGGATCAAACGATTTTTCCGACGGCAATTGACCGAAAGGGCTGCATAGAAATTTCGCTCAAAAGTTTAGGACCATATTGATAAAATTGAAATTTAAGGCTTAATTGATATCCGTACAATAGATTTATGATTAAATTGGTAATGCGGTCCGAAGCCTTTGCGAGAAATTCTTATATAACCCTTTATACGTGATATTCAAACATTGCCAGTCATCTTACGTGGTAATCCACTAGTGTGGACAAGGGAGCGATTTCTAGGAACAATTAGTTGGAAGGGTTATACAAAAATTTAGCGCAAAGTTTGAGGATCATATTGGCAAAGTTGGAAAGTTTATAAGTGAATTGACATCGTACAATAGATTTATGACTGAATTGATAATTTTCCATATTATGAGAAGCAAACTAGGGGGCTGATCCCTTTCCTTTCTTCCTCACAAAAACTAACAAATAAAAATCACATAAGTGATAAATTCGAAATTGGCATAACATTAGTAATTATAATATCTGAATTTGGACAACCCATGTATTAGTTATCATGAATTGCAAATTGCATTAACGTTCAAGTTAAGAAAAGTTATAACAACACACTAGATTAAATTAGTCATGACCAAAAAAGCTGATCATTTTCTATCTATTACTCTTGCAGTTATCTATCCAACTATCATCGATGTATAATGAATTTTCGTATTAAACATGCCGTTGCCCGTCGCTTTCCTTATTTTCCTATGCAAATAGCATTATCGCACGGCTGGCAAATCTGTCTCTATCTCTATTATCCCATCGTTTCGGACGCATGACATGATTGATGTGATTTGAATTCTAGTCTTTGAGTGTCGTCATATGAAGAGTGCACTTTATCACCACTCAAATAACAGCGTTGGAGTTCTTGGATGCGTAGTTTTTTGAATATTCTAAACCTATTAAAATGATATCAATTCAAATTTAATTTTTTAAATTTTGCCAATATGATTTGAAATATTTGCGCGAAATTCCTACATAGGCCTTCCGGTTAATAGCAACCGAAATCGCTCACATGGCATCCAGTCATCACCGGCCGTCCTACACGGCACACTAATGTGGACAACCTGTGGATCGCCGCGTTAGAGATTTTTCAGCGGTGATTAGCTGGAAGGGCTACATAGGAATTTCGCGTAGAAGCTTAGGACCACATTGACAAAATTGAAAGATTTAGGATCGATTGGCATCCATACAAAAAAATTTATGACTAAATTGGTAAATTGTTGTTATTTTGAGAAGCAAAGTGGGGGGGGGGGGGGGGGATTCCTTTCCTTTCTTCCTCATAAAAAGCTAATAAATAAAAATAAAATAAGGATAACTGATATAATATTAGTAATTATAATACATGTATTTGGACAACCTATGTATTAGTTATCATGAATTGCAAATTGCATTAACCTTTCAGTTGACAAAAGTTATAACAGCACACTAGATTAAATTAATCATGACCAAAAGCTTATCATTTTCTATCTATGACTCTTGCAATTATTTATCTAACCATCATTGATATATACTAAATTTCGTATTGAATATGCCGTTATAATTAGCCCGTTGCATTATTTTCTTACCCCAAACTTCAAGGATCATATTGCATTCCATTCCCGTTATTCGGCAAACAAAGATATTGGGATTCTCGTTTCATTCCATTCCATTCCATCGTAGCGAACACAACATAGGTGTACTCGCTCGAGATGAGGGCCCGCCCCTTACTCCGCTCACCGTATCGGGCCTTGTCCATTTTGAGGGGCAGCATATCTCGCATGGGCCCAGTCCTTTACTTCAACAAAACTTGGCCCAAAAGGCAAGGGTCAAGTTGTGTTCCTTCAGTGTGGAAATGGAAGTTGATTGAACAGAAAACCAAGAAGGATCTTCCCCGTATGTTGTCTTTGCCATACATTTCATTCAATTTGGATGCACAGCAGGAAATTCCCAGTCTCTTCCGAGCCGACAAAGTTCACAGGGGTTTTGTCGAACGAAAAAGGGAGAATTTTCCAGCATTCACATGTGAAATACATTAGAATCAAGACAAGAGATACAAGATTGGTGTTATATACACGTTGAATTTATCCACAGAATCTGTTTCTTGTATGAATTGGCTTGCGCTCCAAGACGGTGAAACCGCAAGTCCAGCAATATGCATCATCTCTGCCTCGATCTATTAAGATTAATGTCATGTGACGCGACCCCCCTCGATGGAAGTGGATCTCTCTCTTGCGATGGCCGGTGTTCCTGCAATCATGTGGAGATAATTCACTGACCGAGATTTTACAATTGAATGAAGATTATCCAGTGTAAGAGCTTATCAGACACCAAAGTTTTGCTAGAGGAAATCGATGCGGCTATAATGTACTTGAGTTGCCTCTCCTGTGGCAGTGCAGTGAACTCTCAAGCAACCGAGTAAAGTGAATACTTAAAACAGTACAGTCATGATGTGTCACCTTTGTTAGCAAAGGCACATTTTACCCAACAGTATCAGATTCACCATCAACTTCCTCATACTATTCTCCTATAAAGTGTTTCTCTTTGAGTCGTTAGTGGCTAAGATGCTGCAGAAAGTTCAAATCCCAACAAAGCATACATGAGGAAACAAAATGCAAGATTCGAGGCTTCACGAGCCAATACTGAACCTGAGGAACATGTGCATTATTCATAGTAGGAAATTGGTGATGGCACGAACTTTTAGTGAAGACTAGAACTTACAGCACGGAAAGGGAAATCATCCGTCTCGAGCATGTGAACAATTTGTCCCATCTTCGGTCGTTTGGTGGCGTCTAAGTCTATACACCGCAGACAGACCAACAAAACCCTCTTCAGAGCTCTAGGAGGGGGCTGAACTGCGATCAAGGGATCAACAAGATCTTCCCCACGATGACTCGCTACCATTCCCTTAACCCAGTCAACCAAGCTCATCTGTCGAACACACAACAGAGACCTCCCGAAGTCAAGTAAGGTTTATAGGTCATTACGGAAAGTTATCCTAGTGAGCAATATATATTCACCTCTGCTGCTGGTCTGGAATAGTCAATTGGAGTTCTTCCCGTTACTATCTCCATCAGTAAAACCCCAAAACTGTAGACATCACTCCATTCATTAAGCATGCCCGTGCTTGCGTATTCAGGAGAAACGTAACTGCAAAGATAATGAGAAATCACTCAACTTCTTAACATTATGAGCTGCAAGGGTAGACTGGAATGTATAATTCTTTAAACTTGATGAAGAAGTGTTTAGAGAAGAACAAACCCAAAAGTGCCCATTACACGCGTAGTCACGTGGCTAGCCTCAGACCCCAAAAGTTTCGCGAGGCCAAAATCTGATATCTTGGGATTCCATCCTTTGTCCAGAAGAATGTTGCTAGATTTTATATCCCGGTGCACTACTTTCGGTTCTAAACCTTCATGCAAATAGGCTAGCCTGAGAAGAAAATCAGATCACTGAAGTAAAACAAGAAAGTCAGAAACCAAAGTTGAAGCGGCAAAACGCTCTTTCAAATAAAAATGCCTCGAGTTCTATACCCATTGGGTTTAAATTTCATTTGCTGTTGCAAATTATATGTCCGTCCAGAAGACTTTGTGTCTTTGTGCTTTTCAATTGACACTCCTGATAACTGTCATGGCCTAATACCGAGGGAGTAAAACCAATGAAGTGAAAAATACATGATGCATTTGATACAAACACCATGGCTGCTAGCGATTTAAAACACATCAAAGTGAAGGCAGACTTTCATAAAATCAGTATAACAGAAAGATTCGGAGGTAACAGTAGCACACACCCTTTAGCTGTTCCAACTGCAATTTTCATCCGAATGTCCCATGTCAAAAGGCTAACAGGTCCAACATCACCATGCAACCATTGCTCCAAATTCCCATTATCAATGTATTCATATACGAGCATCCTGAGGTCATGAATACTAGTTTCAATAGGGGCCTCGATATAGAACTCTGCCTCATGGAAAAAGTTTCTGCAACGCAGATCGGCATTACCTTTTAGAACCCTCAGCACAGTAACCAACCAGCCCAACCAAATTCTTATGTCTTACTTTACCTATGGCTTCAACTTCCACCTTGAACTCCTTCTCCGCCTGACCCCTGAAAACAAGTAACTAGGTTTGGCTCTCATTCATTAAATTGCTGTTCTATCGCACTATCACAAAACCAAAATGTTGTAAAAGCCGTATGTTGATGAGCTTCAGAAACTATGGTCCTTGGCTTCATGGGTCAAATGCAGCATGACTTGCCAAGAAACGGATGCAAGATCCATGATACATGGGGTGGTCAGTCAACATCTCCAGGACTCAAAGATCCAAGTGATGACACAGAAGAATAACTACATTTGCACAGGATCCAAGGACTAAGAAGACTTGCAATAAATTACTCAGCATTCAATCTACTTGGCCTCTTTAATGTCACTACTACAACAAGACAGAGAGAAACTATTAGAAAAGTGTCTGAACGCGTGCTCAACAGTACTGGTTAACTTGTTAAGCTGTCGCGTTAGTGCCTTACCTAATCACCCGCTTAACAAATGAATTATGTCGAATTAATTATATAGGATGAGCATTCTAAGCATTCGTTAGTACCACCCATTTTAAAATTAAGACAACTTTATCATTTCGATTTTGCGAATTACCAGGATCTTTTGACTAAGAACAGGGCAAATGCAAAAGCGCACGCGTATAGGTACAGAAGATGCACATGGTTCTGCCACTATCTTCTTCTTCTTACGTGCAGAAGAAGTTTCCGGGCTTAAAAAAACACCAACTTTAGATCTAATTTCAAATTTGCTCTGAATTTATTTTTCGTTTCAGAAAAAATCCCAAACTTTAGGTTCAATCCCAAATTTGCCATGAACTTTTTTTTATCTAAGAAAAAATCTCAAATTTTAGATCTAATCTCAAATCTATCTAGAATTTTTGTTTTGTATTAAAAAAATCACAAACTTTTAATCTATTCTCAAATTTACCCTCATGATTACTTATCAATAACAAAACCACATCGGCAAAGTGACACAAAAAATTATCTTCAAAATGAAACCGAGGAACGACTAACGACGATTTTTGGACAAATGGCTAATGTGAGTAGATTTGGGACTATAATAAAAATCGATAATTTTTCTCGATAAAAAAAATGTTTGGGGTAGATTTAGGACTACACCTCAAATTTTTTAGACAAAAAAAAAAGTTCGAGACGGAATCGAAAATCCTAAGCCGGAGATTTTTTAAGAGAATTAGGACAGGAAAGTTTGTGTGCAGAAACTTTCTCGGGAACTCTTCGTTTCCCGGAAAAGACACGGAAAGCGAGAAACGGAAACCGCGGCGTTGATGGGTATGGATTCGTACTTCTTGTTGAGCAGGTTCTTCACGGCCACCGCGGAGCCGTCGGTCAAGACGCCGCCGTACACGACGCCGTAGCCTCCTTCTCCGACCACGTTCTCCTCCGCGAACCCCCGCGTCGCGATCTCGAGCTCCCTCAACCCGTACCACCGCCCCCACCCCACGTTCCTCCGCGCCTCCCCCGCCGCCGCCGCCGCCGAGCTCCTCCCCCTCCGGCGGACGGGCGCGTCCGCATCGCTCGCTCTCCTCGTCTTCTCTCCTCCTCCGCATCCGGCCCCATCCCCGCCGATCCCGACCTCCCGCAACTTCGTCGGATCCGCTTCCGCATTGCCGATACTTCCCTCCTCTTCAGAGCCACGGTCGACGCCGTCCCCGCGTGCTTTGAACTCCACCATCGTCTTGGTCACCGCCGGAACGGAGCCACCGGGCCCGCGCTCCCGCCTCGCTCCGACTTCCCGACCCTTCGAGCAGATGCAGAGGAAAGCGAGGAAGACGGCGACCACGCAGACGGCGATGATGACCGCCATGCCGACGAGGACGTAGAGCTTCAGGCCGAAGAAATGCGTCTTCGTGGTGAGCATGTGCGGGAGAGAATCGCCGGAGACCGCCATTGTTACCGGCGAGGTGGATCTTCTCGGGAGCTTGACGGAGAAACTCTTGGTGGAGTTGACGGTGATGTAATATAGCAGCGGCGGAGAGAAGCAAAGGAGCTTACAGCTATGTGGAGTGACGGTGGACTTTCCATTTTTGTTTTGAATTGCCAATTATATAAAATTGATTATTCATTATGAAAAACCATACATTAATTACTCAGATGAATTTAACCTATGGTCATGAACTGTTTAATAGATGAATTTAACCAATGGTCATGAACTGTTTAAATAGTGAAAACTCGACGCATTAGATGATTAAAATCAAAGTTTGGATTATCGAATTGAAAATAAGGGCTAGCGATTCGTGTCGTGTCATGTCCAATTAGCGGTATGACATGTGTGTGGCTAATCTGAACAAGAAATATTAAATAAATGTGTCAAACTGCCTCGATACAAAAACGAAATGTCTAATAAAACGAGTCACACGGCACAGTTTAGTTAACCCAATTATTAAATGTGTCATCGCGTCTTGTGCTATCACATCACACTATGATGAACATGTAAAATACATTTATACAAAATAACCCGTGTTAACATGTTTGACACGTTTCAACACGTTTCTAGGCAACGAGTAATCTAAATTATTTTATTGTACGAGGGTTTTCTATGACCCTTAATATTTGTTTTGCCTGTTGTTCTTTTTAACAGGTGTGTTATTTTTGTGAAATCTTTATATATAAATGAATATTTATCATGTTTAACGTATCTAATTGTGTCGAGTTAAAAAGATGACGTGTTAACTTAAATACATCAATTCATATCTAAACGGATTAAATGAGTCAATCTACATCCATATATGCCAAATCCAAACCTTCTTTACTACATGTCTGTAACGTATCGTGCAAACGAGTCGTCTTCTAGAGAATTACCACCCTAATGAAAAAGCACACATGTTAGGTTTTATTTGTTTCACGAAAAATAAATGTTTTAGAGATATTGTCCAAAAAATTGATCGATTGTGTGGCTTGAAATAATTAGCCGGTGAAAAATGTTTCGTTAGCGACAATAATTTATGTCTAAATATTTTCGTAGAGGGTAAAAATATTTTTCGTTCATTCATTTTTGTAATCGTACAAGAGGTCATTTTTAGAAAAATATTTTCAAAATTATTTATTTTCCGCGAAACTATAGAACTGACTAGTCAGAGTCGGTTCCCAGTCTGTGGAACCAAGAACCAACCCTGCCCACCTTAGAACCAGACCGAATAGAACTGACTAGTACCGTCCGATTCCCAGCAACCCGGGAACTGGCAATGTTATTTTTTTAAAAATAATTTAATCTTTTTCTCAAAGGTTTCTAAATATATAGTGTAGATAAAATTACTGATCACAAGAAGTCATTAGTAAAAGAAACTATAACTCCCACAGATAATTTGTATTTTTTGTCTTGATTGGAAATATATATATTAAGCTAGTTCAGTCTGGTCAGGTCGGATTCCTCCCTACGAACATGGAACCGGACTAGGTTATTCATGGTCAGTGTTTTACCTTTAAAAAAAAAAAATTTTTTTTTTTTTTTTTTTTTTTTTTTTTAAAAAAAAAAAAAAAAAAAATTATTTTAAAAAACTTCCTCCCCTAAAAAAAATTTTTTTTAAAATTTTTTTTTTTTTTTTTTTTTTTTATTTTAAAAAAAATTAATTTTTAAAAAAAAATTTTTTAAAAAAAAAAAAAAAAAAAAAAATTTATCTTAAGTAAGTATAATCTACTTATAATAAACGAGAGTAAAGACTTACTGGAAAGTTTCTCTTTTGTCAGTGTTTTTTAAATTTGAAAATTGATTCGACCAAAAAAAAAAATTTCGAAAATTGCAATTGATTTTTGTTTTTTCAGTGAGAAAATAAATTTTCAGAACAATCGATCTTTGCAGCTTTTGTTTCCAAGATCACCGTCTGCTACAAGTGCTACACAAACAATGATTTCATTTTTACTGTGGAATTTATTTTTCAAATTTTAAAACCGAGAAAACTGTTCATTTAAATCATACCAAACACCACCTTAAGCAATTTAGGAAAAAAATATGCTTACTTGCATTTTACTTTATATTTTTAAAGTAAATGAGGTTATAGTTTGGCTTACTCTCTCATTTTTCTCCTCTTTTAGGTGGCTCCATGGCTTGTATAAAGTAAAACCTTAATAAACTTCAGAGTTTTACCCTTTAACATCATTTCCTAAATCTCTTTTAAATTAGGGTTGATACCACAAAAAATCTCATATTAGTACATCTGTGATAAATTTACCTAAAACTAATTTTTTTTATCACAAAAAACCCTAAACTAGTATATCTGTGATAAATTTACCCTCCATTAGTTTCCGTTAAAATTACTAAGTTGGATGGCACGTGGCAGTTAACGGGTGTGCCAGTTTAGGGTTTTAGCCCTACGTTTGCGGTTTTTCATGGTATAATCCAATTTAACAGAGTGTAAATTTATCACAAGTGTATCAGTTTAGGATTTTTAGTGATAAAAAAATTAGTTTTGGGTAAATTTGTCACAAATGTACAATTTGGAAGTTTTTTGCGAGAAAAAAATTAGTTTGGGGCAAATTTATTATAAATATACTAATTTGAAATTTTTCATGGTATTAACCCTGTTAATTAAGCAAATAAGGCAAAAGGATTCCCCGCCTCAATAAAGGAGGTGAAGATGGTGACATAAACCCACTTGATCATGTATTTGATTTTGAGAAAATTGCTCTTATTAAAGAAAAGAAAAGAGCACAAAAGGAGTCAAAGCCCACCATCTCTATCATAGATTCCTTGATTAATGACAAAGATTTCTCTAGTATTTTTCAATTAATCAATTGATAGACAACATTTTAAAATGGGTTTCGCAAGTTTAAAACTCATTTTTTAAAAAAATTTAATAGTCATGGTCAATGGGTTCATGCTTCTAGCACAATTTAGACATCAGACCAACCATTTCATTCTATTTTTTTTACAACTCCCACTGGTCATTTGTCTCAATCCTACTGAACCTAAGTGACTAAAATGTTACTTCTTACCTAATGATTGTGAATTAGCCAAATACCCAAGCCTTGAAGATCGACCTGTTTTTTGTATAGTGAAGGTAAATGAAACTTTTTTCTATACCCCAGTACGTTGAGACCTGATTATCTTGAAATTAATGGACGAAAGACCCCGCAAGCTTTCATAAACAGGATAATATTAGGCCTTTTCGTTTGTGCATATAGCTTTGATTCAAAGCAGTTTACACGCAGTTAACGGAATTTACACAGACGAACTTAAGTTCTCATATTTTTGGCACCCCAAAGGTCCTCTTTCGAAGTTCTTCTCCAATAGGGACATTTATTACTCTGGTATCCCGAGAGAGGCCTTTGCTCAGGATTTCTTTACTAATGTCTGGCATAGCTCGAATATGCTTCAAACCTTTAACTCCTGGACGGATGCTATACTTGATCTGGATGTGCATAGACCTGATCGATTAGTTAGGAAGGGCCACTCGTCGGGTATTTTCTATGTGGCCTCGGCATGGGAGCTGATCAGAATCAGCAGACCTATTGTCCCATGGAGCTCCTTCATTTGGGATCAAAGCATTGCTTTAAGGTATGGCTTCTTGTTGTGGCTTATCTCACTGAATAGACTCCCAACATAGGTCGTTTTGCTAAGCTATCACAGAATATCGGAAGGTGTTTGTGCCTTTTGTAAATGTAGACCCGATTATGTTGATCATTTGTTCTTTGGGTGTGCTATCACGGGTACCCTTGCACTATTATGGGCGGATAAATGCAATCTATCCTGGAGAAATCAGTCTTGACAAGAAAATCTTCAATGGGCCATCCGTTACATAGGAGGCCATAGCTTTCACCAGCGAATTGCTCGCTTTTCACTTGGAGCATTATGCCATATTATCTGGACGGAACGGAACAATATCCTTTCAGGAATCAACTGATAAATTTAGAGACAAAGAACGCAAGCACAATTTAACGAGGTTCGGCTAAGTAAGCCTACGTCCTCGGGAATCCTCTCTCAAAGTTTCTTTTGTTATAAATTCTTTGAGAGAGGGACCGCTTTTTATTGATAGAGGTACATAATTGTTTCCGAATTACGGGAATGTACGAGTAACAATTGAACAAGGAAAGAACACCAAATCGAGAATATCCTATAATTTTCTCCTACCAAAATAGGAGGATCCTGTCGATTTGGTCAACACTCCCCTCAAGTTGGACCGAAGATATCATCGAGGTCAACTTGTTCACCATGTCCCGAAATGGTCCTTTAGCAAGGGCTTTGGTGAAAATATCGGCCAACCGATCTTCACTTCGAACATAGGAGTTTCAATGGTGTTATCCCGAACCTTTTCCCGTACAAAATGGCAACTACCTCAATGTGTTTTGTTCTTTCATGGAACACGGGATTTGAGGCGATATGAGCAGCAGCCTTGATTATCACAAAACAGCCTTCGTAGGTGACGTTCTTGGTTTGCACCCTAATTCCCGGAGGAGAAGGTGCGCCAAACTATCTCACTAGTAGTAGTAGCCATTGCTCGATATTCTCTCAAGACTTGAACGAGCAACGACATTTTGCTTCTTACTTTTCCAAGTAACAATATTACCTCCTACGAAGGTGCAAAAGCCCGTAGTAGACTTCCTGTCATTGGGGCTTCCCGCCTAATCAAGATCTGCATACCCGACAATATCTCGTATGCCCATTGTTCTTCATTAAAATACCCTTCCCGGTGTAGTTTTCAAGTACCTCAAGAATCGATCAACCAAATCCATGTGCCCTTGAGTCGGATTTTGCATGAATTGACTTACATAGCTAACTACGTAAGTAATATCCGGTCGAGTAATAG